TGTGTGTGTGTGTGTGTGTGTGTGTGTGTGTGTGTGTGTGTGTGTGTTCAAACACTATGGAGAATAGAAAATAAAATGGCCTTCTGGACGTTCAATGAGGAAGGAGTCAGAGGAAGTAAAGAAAGAAGATGTACAAGATTAAATCACTCTGCATCTGCTATATCTCATTAACAAATGTCAGGGCAAAGCCAAGCTCCCCACCTGATTTCAGAGAGAAGAAAGAAAGTGTTCTGGCTTGAGAAACTGAAAAGCCACTCTTCCTTCGTTTGAGCTTTTCCGTACAAAGAGCATCTGAAGCTGCCAGTGTGCTCCAATTGGGAACACTCCCAAAATGCAGAAACGGCACAAACAGCCCAGCATTCTGGACTTCTCAGTGACTGCTACACACTTTAAGCCCTCCACATTCCTTCTTCACACCGCCTCCCCAAGACGTCTTACGTTCAACATAGACATATTTTGGCTGAGAGCAGAATAGCCCCGACCAACAGGTTTTACTCAATGGTTAGTATTCTAGAATACATAGAGTAGCCATCTGGCCCAATTTTTTTGTTTGTTTTTCTTTTTTAATTTGAAATAGTTTTGTTAACCAAGAATGATGCAACCGCTGGTTTTAGACATAAGTGGTGTCATCTGCTGGACTTCAGGAGAGATCATTGTCTAAACCACAATTGCTGTGGCCTTCTGAAAAAACAGACTGCCAAGTTGCTTTTTGTCCTCTGCTGCCTCTCTTCAGCTAGCAACCTCACATCATATGTAATTTGTTCAGTGGGGTGGAGGATCTCCAAGCTCTGCTCAACAAGGTATTATGGCTATGCTGTAGGGTCCCTGACGACCATGCTGAAAAATGGCATTTCTTTTGAGCCAAGGGGTCCTGAAAGAAAATGATACAAATGAGGGAAATACGACTTGGGGGAGGGGGGACATTAGATCAACTCTTAATCCAGGCATGGTACCACATGCTTAGAATCCCAGCAGTCAGGAAGCCAAGGCAGGCAGACTGCAAGGCAGATGCTAGACTGGACTGCAGGGTGAGCTTAAGACCAGCCTGAACTAACAAGACCTTTGCTTGAAAAAAAAAATTACCCTTTGGTGTGTCTTATCTTTAACTCGAGTTTCTGCAAAGCATTGGCTTTATCCAAGGCAGAAGTCTCCCCTTGCAGAGAGGCTACACCACACACAGGTCGGGCAGGAGTAGGTGACAACGGTGTGCTGTAGAGAAGAGGCACTTATGATGACTGCATGTTTCCACCTCCAGCACTGGGGTGCACAGGACCCCGACACACAGGCTTCGAGAAAGCTGTCCCCCACCTTGGCTTTGTGCTGTACACACAGTCGATCCCATAGTTGCTAATCCTGAGAGGCCCTCAGAGGCTCAAAGGTATTATTAAAGAGAAAAAAAAATAGATAACAGCTTTCTCTTCTTGCTCAAAGGATAGCACTCGCAGCATTTGATCCTGCCCTAAAAAAACTAACATTGTATTTGTGACAGAGGCCGCATCAAGCCAAGGACAACCTCAGGCAGTGAGCTTGTGTGATATCCCTCCAACTGTCACCTCTCAATAGCTACGGAACCATTTTCCAGTGTTCCAGGAGAGCAGGTGGCTATCTGGAAGTCCAGGCTATATGATCAGCAGGTCCCCAGGAGAAGGAAAGACCTACCAGTATATTTACAGCCTTGGGGAAACTCACTTTGGTGTCTCTGTTGCTAGGAACGCTCACAGAGAAAAAGGTTTAACAAGAGCTACAAACCTTCTACTAGGCCATCTAGATTCTAGAGCCTTTTTCTCTCTCTCTCTCTTTTTTTTTTTGGTATGAATACAAAGATGAGAGAGAACAGACCACTGAAAACCTTTAGTCCCTAGAGAATTAAGTCTTCCACAAGAGATAGAAACACATCTCATTGGCCCATCACACCACCTCCCTTGGTTTAAGACTGTTTCCCTACAGAGTCAAATCAGTGGACAAACAAAGGAACGTTTTTTTAAATAATGATTTTGTAGCAAACAAAGCTCAGGAAAAAAAAATAAGAAGATTCTGAAACTCATTGTTCTAAGGCTTTTCAGAACATGTCTGTTGAACCCACAAGGCCCACATGGAGCAAAAGCCTTATGTATTCAATAGTATCGTAGAGAAACAGAGCCTTGGAGACTTTATTGGGGTCTTATTTCTTCTACCAACAGAATAAAATTAAAACAAGATCCATTGCCTTGATTTTTTTTTTAGTTAAACCTACCTTGTGAAGGAAATCCTGAAACTTCAGGAAGCTCAGAGAGCTGGTTTCTCTGTACCCTGGTCCACGGAGAGACCAAGAGTAATTACTTTTCCCCTCACTGGAAATCAACAGCATTTGTTTTTCTTTGTTTTCTGTTTAGTGTTTGAGCATTGTTATGGAATTCCAGGCCTGTGGATGGAACTGAAAAGTGGCTGATAAAGGAAAGTGTGTCTGAAAAATCCCCATCAGCATTAAACACTGAGATCCACTGTGAGCAGCTTTCAAACTGGCGTTAAATTGGATAGACACCCCACTGCCTCCCAGGTCCGCGTGAACAGAAAGTCCAAGTTTTATGCAATTAGGCAGGAGGGAGTTCCATTCAGAAAAGCCCATACTAGTGTTTCTCTGCTCTCTCAGTTCATACCAACATAGGTTAGGAATGAGGCTACAGTGAGACAGAAAAAGAGACTTTCCACAAGATATCCCTACAGAGTCACCTTTCCAATAAAAAGGAGTTAGCGATCTAAGATAAGCCAAGACTCTCACATGCAACCATGGCTTCTGCGTGCAATTCTCGATCCGCTCTTCAGAAAGTGTTCTGTGCCATCTGCAATGATATTTACTACTGGAACATAAAACAAAACCTGTTGTTTATGCCCTCACTTTCTCCAGTCTTTCCTGTTTTTTTTTTTTTATTTTTTTTTATGATAACCAAGTCATGTGTTCATACACCCTAAAGATAAATTATGTGAAATCATATTTTGGCATAGGGGGATGGAGAGTGAACTCTTTACAAACTTTTTAAGATGATCCCATTTCTATCACCGAAGACATTTTGGATGTTATTATATGTGAGTATATAAATTTTCCATGTTATATTTGCATTAAAATAAAGCTTTATTCATTCAGTGAGCCATCAGCATCTTGATTTGTTTGGGGAATCTGATGACTGCTCACCCTACGGCAGCCACATCTAATACAGCGGCTTCTCAACCTTCCTCATGCTTCAACCCTTTAACACGGTTCCTCATGCTGTGGTGACCCACAACCATGAAATTAGTTTGTTGCTACTTCATAGCTGTAATTTTGTTGCAGTTATGAATTGTTATGTAAATATTTTTGGAGAGGCTTGTCAAGGGGGTCAAAACCCACAGCTTAGAACCCCTGCTCTAATAGTTGAGTAGCTCCATAGCAACACCCAAGAACAGCAGCAGGGCAAAGGGACATCGGCCAGTGCAGACGAGATCGGAGAGAGAAGCTGAGCTGCAATGTGCTCCCATTGCCAACACCAGCCAAGTCCACCAGGAACTCAGGAGAACAGTGGACCTCAGAGCTTCCCCAAATGAGAACAAGAGAGCTGGCCTTCATGCCTCATAACTACCCTGAGGAAGAGAAAAGACCTAGGTTCAGGCAGTTCTTTTTGGCTGAGTCATGGCAGCTGGGACCATCTTTCATTGGTTCTTACAGGAGCTGAGAAAACAGTTCTTTTAAGGAGGGAGATCAAAGCCTCCCACCATGGTAAGCACAACATCATTCCAGGCTGATTACCTCTCTGCTTGTAGAATCACTCACTTCACCTATAGAAGGTCATCTCCAACAACATCACTGTCCCTCTCAAGGTCCCTAGCTTATTTTTAACCCTTTCCCTATTTCTAGCAAGTTTACCCAAGGTTTCATTATCTCCCAGCTCTCTCTCAGCCAGCCGCTTGAATGTACATATTATTCTGAACATTCCAGGGGGTTGGCTTGTTTGTTTGTTTTGTTGTTTGTTTGGTTCGGTTTGGTTTGGTTCGCCCCTGGACGATAATGACCCACAAGCCCTTTAAACTCAACATATGCAAGCTTTCTCCAAAACTACTTGTTCCCTCACAGGTCTGTTGTGGACAATTGTACAGTCACAGGGCAGAAACCTCAAAGTTGCCCTCGATTCCCACCTAAACTCCGCCCATACCGATGTCCCATAAGCCCTCTGTAGACACTCTACAACAGTTCTCAGACGTGCCCACACTTCCTGGCACTGTGGCCTAGTTCAGCCTGACAACTTCCTCTCTACAGCCATCTCCAGCACCTCATTTATCCCTGAGCTTACTTTCCCCATCCCACCTCTGTTCTCCAAGGCCTGCCGCCTGCTTTTGTGAATGTATTTTCCTGGAATACCTCCATGCCTCCATTCATATGGTTGTCTAGAGTAGAGCTCTTCCCTGCTACATCACTCACTCCTAACTCTCTACTCTTGGCAGGGGTGGGGAGACATTGTGAAACAGGGAACTGGCGGGATTACCTAGCTATCTGTGGTGACATCTTTGAGAAAGAATATTGAAAACTGGTAAACATGGATTTAAAACATT